CGGCTCAAGAATTCTTACGGCAAGGAAACTGTGCTCTGTCTAATTAAGAGATGTGTGTCGCTCGGGGCCCTAGAAGAGGGAGGGCGATGGGCACTGGGGGGGCCGTGGGGTTTTGCAGGCACAGACCTGTCCTAGCTATGGCGATGGGCTGCGCGCGGGGGCCCTGGTACGCGTCTGCGTGCGCACTGTCCTGCGTGATCTCGGGGCACTGGGGTGACCAGGCCTAGCACGGGGACCACCCTCACTTCTCAGTGGGGCCGCTGTTGGTCTCGCTGACCCGGGCAGCTCGGCGCAGGCTGTGTGCACAGTGTGGCTGGTGGGGAACTGTGCGAGATCCCTCAGGTTTGGGGTAGCACAGGCCTTGGGGGCAGCGCGGGGTACAGGGAAGACACGGAGCCTTTCTGGGTGTGCTTTCCAGCCTTGTTCTGAGAGTAGCATGTGCTTCCTGTAGGAAGTCCAGAGAGGGAATTTGGGCCAGCCCGCCGACCGAGAGGGTGTGCGTTCCTCTAGCGCTCACAGCCCTCGTCTGGGGGCTGGCGCATGGGCACCGAATGCCCGCGTGCTGCCTCGAGGGGTACCCACGTGGGAACTCATGTCACCTGCCAACACGGAGGTCTGAGGATGCGGGACTGGGAAGGCACAGCCTTAGAGAGAAGCGCTGGAGCCCCTGGGGTCGGTCCTGTTTCATACGCAGCACGACATCGACAGCCACGCGGACGGCCGTCCTGGGCAGGGACGCGATGCATTCTGTCCGCACGGTTAACGCCCTCCCGTGGGGGGAGCCACGTTGGGTCTGCTGGACATTCGTTCCTGTATTCCTTTCCTCCACGTGATGTTTCGTGGCGCTGAAGTCACATAACGTGGAATAGGCCACGTGACGGCGAACAGTTCGGTAGCGTTGAGGACGTCCCCACCGCGGTGCAACTGCCGCCTGCGTCTGGTCCCGGACTAGCCGTTCCCAGGGGGGCCCCGTCCCCATGAGGCGGTCATCGCTGCCCAGCCCTTTGATGTCTGCTTTGAAGAGGCTGTAACACCTTGTCAGCCCCTCATGAGGAGCGAGTGAAAAGGTTTTCGCATGTGGTCTTTTTGCTTAAATGACCTTTCAGCAACTGTCCCGTGCTTGACTGACCCATGGTTTCCAATGGGTCTGGCGCTGTCCATGGCCTGCTGTCCGTGGGATGCCGAGGCCAGGAATCAGGCCGTGGGGCACATGCGAGCTGCCCATGTGGGCTTTCTCAGTCTTGCTTTTGGGTGGAAATGAGGCATCCTGGCCGCACCCCCCAACTCCCCCAGTCAGGGTGTGATGGTTCATTTCCATGTCCCCCATGCTGTGTGGAGCACATGAAACGTGGGTAACCGTGGATGGGGCTCCATGCCAAGAACAGAAATATATTTGGAAAAAGCCAGAAATCCCATATGGTTAGGAGTCCACAGGCATGCACCATCATCGTGAGCGCCCACTGAGCGGAGTAGGACCCCTCCCACGGAACGCGCTCAGCCCCTGTGGTGGTGGCCGGAACCTGGCCGGGCCTGTCCCCAGGAGCTCCCAGCAGACGGAAAATTGAAGTGTGGTTTTGTCTGCAGCCTCCGCTTTGTGGGGATTGGACGCGCAAGTGGCCCGAGGCACGGTTCGTCTGGCTCGTGGGCCCACGGCCCAGCAGGACCAGCAGGTTTGAAGTGTGTCATCGGGATGCTGGCTTTTCCTGCTCCTGCAGCTGCGTGGGGACAGACCTGCCCCAGCTCCCCAAAACCAGCAGCACCAAACAGGCAGTTGTGATGTGGAGCAGAAGGAGAAGCCCCCTGGGTGGGTTTAACTTTCTGGGGGGAGCGAGGCCTGTCTGCTCGGAGGGTGGGGGGCCGTGCGGGCTTCGGCCGGTGCGGGCGCGGGATGCAGGTGCTCCCGTGGACGGTGTGGGCAGCCTTCGGTGCAGGGCGCTGTGGGCTTGTCGTATTTGCTCTGCAGCCTGGTCTCTGGAGCATGATTGTCCCTGCAGGGTGCTGTGTCCCATCATCTTCTAGAAAATTCCGTGTTGTACGTAGAGCAAGGCTCATACCACATAGGTGAGCCATGAGGAAATCTGTCTCCACGTGGTATCGTGACTGCTCTCGGCGCCGTAGGGACCGCGTCCCTGTCATCGATCCCATATGGCCCGGGACGCTTGTATCTGCACCGTACCCGAGCTCTGGAGCACTGGTAGTGGGGCATCCCGGCGTCTGTGGTGGCGAGACGCCGAGTCCCCGGGACCTGCCGCGTGGCCGCGCTTGTCCCAGGCGCCGCAGAGACAGTCAGGTGGAGGGGACGCACCCTCAGCCTCTGAGCGTTTCAGGTCTCGGCCACAACTGACAGCTTCCGTCCCAACCAAACCAAGTTCCCTCTGCAGCCAGGAGAGGCGGGTGGCTCAAACCCACCCCACCCTCTCCTAAATCCGGCCGCTAATCCGCTGCCTCAGCCCAGGCTGCCCGGGACTCCGAGGTTCGGGACGCGGCCGACACTTGGATTTCCAAGTACGCAGGCTTTCCGGGGGCGGAGGAAGCCTGAGGTCCGTGCAGTCTTGACAGCTTTCCTTGTGTGTGGACACGTCTTGGGCGGGGTGGTGTGTGTCACTGCGGCCCCCCGTGCTTCATGGACGAGACACAGCTGCCCAGTCCAGAAGGACGTTCCCACAGTTTGCTGCAGCCTTGTCCTTGATGTCCCCTCCTGACTTAGTGCTTTCCCTGGGGACACTGTTAGCGCTATGCTCTTGAGGGTCTGCTGGGATGGGGCCTTGGGCTGTGAACGCCCCGTTTCCTGGCCTTCCTGGAGCTAGCACATGCCTCTGCAAGGTGCTGTGTGGTCCTTGGCCCTGTTGCTTCGAGAGAAGGCTTCCTGTTGACGGTGCAGAGCTGGGTGAGAGGCTGCTGCCCACGTGTGTGCAAAAATCCCGAGATGGATTTCCAGAAGCATGCCGTCTGCGGGATGTTTAAGTCATCCAGCACGTCTCCCCAGGAAACCCGTCCTCTGCCTGCACCGCCTGTGGGGGAGGGTATGCTCGGTCCCGGGATCCCAGCAGCAATTTTTCTGTGCAGCTGGGACGCGCTGGCAGGACGCCTTCCGTACGGAAAGCGAATGACCCCCGAGTACCTTTGTTGTCTCGGTGCCCCCTGCCCTTGCCGAGGTGTGGCGCATGCTGCCCCGATACCCCGGGGGCCCTGGGGCCGTGCAGTGGAGTGCCACCTGTGGGATGTATCATGGCCTGCGGAGCAGAGCGTGGGACTTCCATAAACATGCTTCTGCAGCGCTGGGAACATGGTTCGTTGTACTCTCCAGGGTCAGCCATCCTGCGAGGGCCTGTGTAGTCTTCCGGCTGCATCCCTGGGGGCCGTCACAGCACAGCAGCCCAGGACCACCCCCGAGACAGCCCGGGTCCTGTGGCACTGATCTGGTGGTGAGTGGTCTGGACTTATAGTCTCCAAAGACCACATGAGGGACTGTCACTCCTCGCTAACGCAGGTGTGCACGACTGACTTGAGTCCTAACGCTGCTCCGTGCACAGTCATCGGCCCCAAAGGACAGCCCCAGGCCTGCGGTGCACATTATCGGATGGGGCAACAGGCCGCTGGTGAGGAGGTGTGTGCACAGCTGTGTGTGCGCCTGGCCGAGGACCAGGTGCACGGAGCCAGGACCGTGGTGGGCAGAGGGCGGCCGTGTGGGACCTCCGACCCAAACAGCCACCCAGCCCTGACCCCGTCTGGCCCGTTCGTGGTGACCGGAGGCCGGACACCACAGCCACAGTTGGTCCTGCACAGGCTCCTGCAACAGAGCCACATGTGGATGACACCACGTCATCGTGCTTCACACCGCAGGGGCACACAGCTGTCCACGGTGGCCGGTCAGAGCAGTGCGCACCACAGGCCGAAAAGATCCGGGTTCAGGAGGGGCTGGAGAGGACCCTGTGTGACTCTGGGGGACACTTGTGATTGCGCTTTGGATTTGTATCAGACACGACGAAACATACCTTAAGGCCTCACATCACTTGTTTGTTCTTAAACGTGACTCCTGGGGATGTCTGAACTGACACATGTGGCCTGAATGTGTGGCTCGCTGGGCATTTCTGTTGGAAGCAGGCATCTGGACTGCGGCTGTGAGTGCCTGTGCCCGTCGGGTGGGCCCGATTAGTGGCGGGTCCTTGGGGCTTCAGGAGCACGTGAGACCCGCCCTAAGCGGCCTGCCTCCGCATTTCCGCGGCATTGACTCGTAGGTGGCTGGCCCTCATCGGAGACGCGGGCTCTGCACTCAGAGGGCATCTCTCTTGCACAGAGACCCAGCACTCGGCTTTGTGGGCACACTCGTCCCTGCAGGGCCCCCCGGCTCCCCGATCCCAGCCCCCGTGTCCCTGTTTTCTGTGCATAAAGGAGCATGCCATGCGCCAGCAGCCTGGTCTTCCGCCGGCAGCCATCTCCCGCACACGCTGGTCAGCCAGCCACCTGCTCGTGATGGTGTTGGGAACCATGGGCTTCGTTCTGGCGGGAGGGGGGACCACTGGGTAACCCCGTCCTGCCCCTGGGTGCACCGTGCCTTCGGCCTCCCGGGGTCCTGCTGCCAGGGGCTGTCGTGGGGGCCGTGTTGGGCCGAGCCAGAGTCCCGGGAACAAACCCACAGGCGTATCCACATCTGGCCAGGCTATTTATAGCGCACAAAGGCCCGCTTTTCTCTGACGGGGCGGGCATATGGCAGGGCTGTCATGCACACGGTGAAGCCAGTGAACTGAGCCTTTCACTTCGCGACTCGCTGGGGTGTCTGACACGTTCTCCGGCACGTGCCCCGGCCCTGGGGGTCACATCTCCGCTGCTGCTGGCGAGCGAGCCCGTGCACGGGGTGCAGTGTCGGGATGGCATGGCTGGCCCAGGGTGGCAAGCCCCAACTCCCCCACCACCCCCAGGGGAGGACGGGCCCCTGCAGACCCCATCTCTGCGCTGAACTCCTGTGTTGGGCACCAGGGTCTCCACGCGGGGGAGGTGCTCTGATGTTGGGGAGGATGGAGCATACGCGGAATCAGTAAGTTGGTCAGAAGCAGTGAGATGGTCCTGGGTGCACAGGAGGGAAATCCGGGAGAGGGGGCACCGGGAGGCCTCGCTGAGGAGGGCGGCTGGGGAAGGGAAGTTAGGGCGGTGCCTGGGTCTGGGGAGATATTCCCCAGGCAGAGGGGACAGCAGCTGCAAAGGCTCCGAGACAGGACTGTGCCTCCTGTATTCAGGGTACCTGGGGCGCCTGGCAGCTTCTTGGCGCTGGGGATGCTGGGATGGGAGCCCTGGAGCCAGGGGTTTGGATAGGCCCACAGCCTTCTGCGGGACAACGGAGCACAGCAGGGTGCAGGGTGGCCTGTAGGAGGTTGTGGTGTGGTCTGGAGAGGGGGTGGTGACACAGGCCTGGGGCACAGCAGCCAAGGTGGGGGGATAGCCCGACTAGGCCTTTGTTTGGAGCAGAGCTGAGAGGACTTGCTGACAGGTTGGGTCTGCAGTGAATGGTAGTCGAGGGTACTGCAAGTTTTGGCTGAGCAACTGGAGAAATGGAGGGTCCTAGATGAGCCCAGCTCTCCAGGAGGCAGGGAGGCAGGCCTGGGGACAGGTGAAGTTTCAAAGAGTGGATGGGCTGGGGCCCTAAGCCCAGAGCTGGGGAGATGTCTGTAGACCAAGTGAGGGGTCTCCCGGGGGTGGCTGCTTGCCCGGGAAGAGCCTTGTCCATGTCTGTGTCAGTGGAGCTGGCTGGGCGGGACTCCTCAGGAAGCCTCGGTCACCACTGGAAGGACAAGGGCTGTGCCACAGGAGTGGGGGTCAGCGTTGCTTGTGCAGGGAGAAGGGGTGCTCCCTGGCCGAGCTCTGGGCACTGATGAATCTGGAGGCAGGACTGGGAGTGTGGACGAGGCCAAGCTCACCATGGGGTGCCCTGGCCGGCCTGAGGACTCTGTAGCCCACGTGGTGTGGGAGCAGGGATGGTTTTAGCAGGGAGGCGCCTCCCTCCTCCCGTGCAGACCTGCACAGACAGTCCTCGTGCCTGGAGTGTTTCCCGGGAAAGGCAAGGCTAACCACCGGGGTCGGGAGCAGCCCCACCTCTCAGCCCAGTGGGCACTCATGTTTGCCGGCACGAAGTGGCCCATGTTTGCCCACTGCCTCACTGTAAGCCGAGAGGCCGGGGAGCATTCATTACAGAGAGGAGACGGTGCCTCTTGTCTTCCAGGCTGAATTTGGGGGTCGGGGAGGTGATTCCCGACTGAACAGGTTTCCCTTGCAGCTTGGACTAGGTCCTACTTGCAGGTCCTACTTGGAGCTGCCGCCCAGGCAGTGGGATTAGTCCTGTGGTCCCTTGTAGGAAGCTGAGGAGTGGCCCCGAACAGGTCAGGCTCAGTCCCTGGAACTTTGAGTGCCGCCTTGGCTGGAGCCGTCTGTGCCTGTGTGAGTCAGTTAAGGACATTGACGTGGGAAGGGGTCCCGCGTTCCCTGGTTACCCAAATGCCATCCCAGCAACCTTCCAAGAGGAAGGCAGGGGTCGGGGAGGTGGAAGACGAGCAGAAGGTGATGGTCGTGAGGACAGAGGTTAGAGTTGTATGTGCACAGTGGCTGGTTTTAGGTGGTAGCTTGGTGTGCCTCCAGCGCCCAGATACCTGGTCCACCAGGATTCTGGGCGTGTCTGTGAGGGTGTTTCTGGACGAGATTCACACTCACATCAGAGGACAGTAAAGCAGACTGTCCTCCTGGGTGACGGTGGGCCTCGCCCAATGAGTGGAAGGCCTGAACGTGCAGAAAGGTGGAGCGAGGGAGAATTCCCGCTCTGCCAGGCTGCGCCGAGCTAGATGGTGGTCTTCTCCCACTTTCCGATCCAGGCTGGAGCTGGGACCTGCACCATCCTCTCTCCAGGGTCTCCAGCTCGCCCATGCGCATATCAGGGCTTCCAGCCTGCAGGACTGTGGGATCTGATTTATTATACTAAATCTCTTTATATGTTTACATTCTATTGATTATGCCTCTGGGGACCCTAACTAATACAGTGGCCACAAATTAAGGAATGCCGGCAGCCACCAGAAGCTGAACGAGGCAGGGAAGGGTCCTGCCCAGAGCCTCCAGAGGGGACGCGGCCCTGGTGACACCGTCATTTCAGCCCGGCGAAACTGATGTTAGACGTGGGGCCTTCATAAGGGAGAGAGAACAGATCGCCGTTGCTCTAAGCCACCCAGTCTGTGGTCATTGAAATGTTAGAGCGGCCACAGAGCAAGAAGACACAGCCAGTGTAAACAGGGCTGCCCGAAATACTGTGGCCACATGCACGGGGCTGTGACTGAGTGTGTGGATTTCAGGGAGTGGTCGTGCTGGGTCAGGGCGTGGGTCTCTTTGTTCCGTAGACCACGTCAGATCTGTTTGGGAGACGATCCAGTGGTGGATGTCTCCTCTGCGAGGCCGTGCTTCTGGTTGCGGGGCGCTTTCTCGGCGGCGGCCACGGGGGCTTCCGGAGCGCGTCTATCTGCAAGGGCAGAGCTGTGGGACGCCGTGCCCTCGCGTGCTGGTAAGTCAGGCTCTTCGCGCACAGGGATAGAGGCGCCTCGAGCTGTGACTGGGCCGTTGTGTTCTCTCGGGCTGTTGCTCATTGCCCATCTGTAGCGGCTGTGTGTTACGGACGTGGATGATTGTCTCCTGCCTTGAAGATGCTGACCACCCCACCCCCACCCCGTTCTGTTTTCTGCTGCTTGTTCTGGTGTCATTCGCCGTCAGGATTAGGTCATTTTGCAGCTGAATGTGTCTCTGTTTATTATGACTCTGTTACCAGTGTCCATCAGGAAGGTGACCTGGGCTGTCTCTTGGTTACCTGGCGGGCTTGTCTCGTTTGGTGTTCTTGGACCCCGCCCTTGAGCACATCTAGAATGCATGTGCGTAACGTGGACTAAGATTGTTGAGGGTGGGGGAGTCTGATTTTCTGCCCTTCTGTGCGCCGGTCCCAGTAACTCAGCAATCCACCCTCTGACCAGGGAATTGAGCTTCCATTCTGCAAGGTGTCCTGGGCTCACGGGCACTGGTGCCCGTTGGGGGTTGTCACTCCCATCCCACTGGCCTGTCTCATTGGTAGCAGCTGTGCGGTGTGTTTCCACGGCAGGTGCAGGACCCCTCCCGCCCCCGGCTCTGTGACTCGGGGAGACATTCTGGCAGTGATCCGTGCGTGCACGTAGGACTGCATGTGCATGTTGGCGTGTTCTTGTGGCCGCTGGGCAGAGGACGATGTGGGTGGACGCAGGAGAGCTGCACTGCTAGGGGCAGCAGGGAGGATGGTATGGTGTAGGTGGGAGGGGGAGCTTGGCAGGAAGGGACTCGACACTGTCAGGTTGTGTAAAGTTACCTCTTGCTGCCTGGAGAGTTTTAAGGAGCTTATAAAATAAGTGAGGCGGTGGTATCTGAGGAATCACGCACTGAACAGTGTCGTCACGGAGGAGTGACGAGACAGCACATGCTGCTGGCTCCACCACTGTGCGGGGGGCATGCCCTGCCATGGGCTTCCTCTGGGCACGGGTGCTCTTTATGCACGGTGGGGCGTGTGTGAGCACGGTGGGGGAACTGCATGTGCATGGTGGGTGTGCATGTGCACAGCGGGGGGCGGTGTGTGTGCATGGTGAGGAGGTATGTCTGCATGGTAGGGG